TTTAGAGCTGTAGTGTTGATCAAGACAGGGTTTCAAGTTTGTATCTGTACCTATACATGTTTGTGTACCTTTAACAGGCAAGTGTACTGTTTTACCTGCATGGAAATAACTGTCCCAAATTACCCACACTGAAACACCTGCTCCAAAATACTTGCACCCAAATACCTGTACTAAAATACTTGTCCTGAAATACCTGTACTTATGCCTGTGCTGAAATACTCTTGCTGAGGTACCTATGCTGAAATACCATATTTAAAAACAACAAAAACCCACTGAAATACCTTTGCTAAATATTTGTACCCTGAACTGAAACACCTGTGCCAAAAGACATTTACTGAAATGGACTCTTATGGAACTACCTGTTCTGAAATTCTGATATACCTGCATCACAATACTAGGCCTGAAATACCTGATTCAAAGTACAGTGAGCCATCATTATACCACCCCCAAAAATACAGTGAGCCATCATTATACCACCTCCCAAAATACAGTGAGCCATCATTATACCACCCCTGAATATACAGTGAGCCATCATTATACCACCCCAAAAAATACAGTGAGCCATCATTATACCACCCCCAATATACAGTGAGCCATCATTATACCACCCCCAAAAATACAGTGAGCCATCATTATACCACCCCCGAATATACAGTGAGCCATCATTATACCACCCCCAAAAATACAGTGAGCCATCATTATACCATCCCGAAAATACAGTGAGCCATCATTATACCACCCCGAAAATACAGTGAGCCATCATTATACCACCCCCGAAAATACAGTGAGCCATCATTATACCACCTCCCAAACTACAGAGAGGCATCATTATACCATCCCCAAAATACAGTGAGTCATCATTATACCACCCCGAAAATCATTATACCAACCCGAAAAATACAGTGAGCCATCATTACACCCCCCCAAAATACAGAGCCATCATTATGAGCCATCATTATACCACATCCCAAAATACAGTGAGCCATCATTATACCACCCCCAAAATACAGTGAGCCATCATTATACCAACCCCAAAAAATACAGTGAGCCATCATTATACCACCTCCCAAAAATACAGTGAGCCATCATTATACCACCCCCCAAAATACAGTGAGCCATCATTATACCACCCCTAAATACAGTGAGCCATCATTATACCACCCCAAAATACAGTGAGCCATCATTATACTAACCCGAAAATACAGTGAGCCATCATTATACCACCTCCCAAAATACAGTGAGCCATCATTATACCACCCCCAAAATACAGTGAGCCATCATTATACCACCCCAAAAATACAGTGAGCCATCATTATACCACCTCCCAAAATACAGTGAGCCATCATTATACCACCCCCAAAAATACAGTGAGCCATCATTATACCACCCCAAATATACAGTGAGCCATCATTATACCACCCCAAATATACAGTGAGCCTTCATTATACCACCCCCAAAAATACAGTGAGCCATCATTATACCACCCTAGATATACAGTGAGCCTTCATTATACCACCCCCGAAAATACAGCGAGCCATCATTATACTAACCCCGAAAATACAGTGAGCCATCATTATACCACCTCCCAAAATACAGTGAGCCATCATTATACCACCTCCCAAAATACAGTGAGCCATCATTATACCACCTCCCAAAATACAGTGAGCCATCATTATACCACCCCGAATATACAGTGAGCCATCATTATACCACCCCGAATATACAGTGAGCCATCATTATACCACCTCCCAAAATAGTGAGCCATCATTATACCACCCCTCAATGTGCAACTATCACTGGTGCAGCATGTGGTATCCTTAGTCTCCCAATAATTCATGAAGAAATTCTCCCAAAAGCCTGAAAATAAAAAAATGACAAATAAGCTAACGAGATTTTATTCTGAGTTGCAGTTTGCGAAATAGTTAGCTTTGTGATATCTGGCTGCAAGTGATTGTAACCATTCTGCAGTTTGCTTCACTTCTAAAAATAAGCATAAAAGTATAGAGATTTAAGGAATTTGCTCATACAAAATCACAGCAACCCAATTAAATAATGGTTTGTTGTGAATATTGAGATAACGTGTCTTTCAACTTCAAAATGACCACATGAATTTAGTTTTGCATGTCCCTGCTACTATGAAGCAACTATCAGTTTCAGTCACTACAAATATGTTCTATGTAAAGCTTCAATGCATAATGTGTAGATCTCCCACATAAAAAACATTCCCAGAATATGATAATCACAGGCCACTGTGACTGCAGCATTGTCTACGGTCCCCTGTACCAGTACCAAACTGGAAGGAATACACAGGTTAAAACCCTTAAGAAAGACCAATCAGCACTGATATGGGGAGATGTTTGACCTTAAATTCATTTGAATTGTGTAAAGTGAGGCCTACCTTCACAGAGGCATTTTGAATTGAAACATCACACTCATATTACAGAATAGTTACAACTTTATTTGCAGATGGTTTTGACATAAGAAGCCTGAGCAGGGAAAAGTGTGTCTCCATGTCTGTCTTAGAGTCTGTGGTGTGTGACACTGTGGGTTTCCTTTGTACAGTGAGATCATGTTCCATGATGTAAGAGACCCGTGACGATCCGGGGTAGAATAGGTCTTCAGCAACCCGTGTGCTTGCCATAAAAGGCGACTATGCTTGTTGTAAAAGGCGACTAACGGGATCGGGTGGTCAGTTTCGCTGACATGGTTGACACATGTCATCGGTTCCCAATTGCGCAGATCGATGCTCATGCTGTTGATCACTGACTCGATTATTTACAGACCGCCGCCATATAGCTGGGATATTGCTGAGTGCGGCGTAAAACTAAACTCACTCACTCACTCCATGATGTAAGACTGACTATACTATTCAAAAAAAGAAACTCATAACCCAGACATCTTTTGCGAAAATGTTGTATTTTCAAACATGTATAACTCGTCACAAATAGACTTTAGTTCATGAATTTTTACATCAGTTAAGAAGAAAGAAATGTCTATACAACCAAGTGGATAATTTTATGTAATGGACACGTTGAGTGCGATGGTGATGACTAACACGATCCTGATGTCGGGTCTCCTGGCTCTCAGTCCAATATCTCTCAACATGTTCCGTACAGTTTGACCGGATATCCTCCGAAGTCCAGGCACCCTGGCTGCTATGCTCTCACCCGTGGCAGTAGGATCACACAAATGTAGTATGCGGATGTACCAATCTTGGGCTACAGTGGTGACTCGAGGTCTGCTTGTATGGGGATGGTCATTTGTTATATACCTGTTATACCGTATTTTTTCAAGAATAAGAAAAAGAATAAAAAATTATTTTTCCCCGCTGAAAAAATACGATCCTAATGTTTTTATGGGCCAAAAATGTAAACTTGCAAGAAAATTGTTTCCAGATTGTTTTTTGCCCCGTATACACTTCATAAATTGCGAGAAGTAAAATACTTTGAGTATTTAAAAAGGAATATTACTCTGACTTGTGATTTTATTTATATTTTTTTCCCCTTCTGCTTTAGGTTTTCTGAGGACAAAAATCCGTAAAACAAGAAATAAAATTGGTCTGGCCTTATCTGTGTTTGTAGACCTCTGTGACTTAGTTTCCTTATCTGTGTTTGTAGACCTCTGTGGCTTAGTTTCCTTATCCGTGTTTGTAGACCTCTGTGGCTTAGTTTCCTTTTCTGTGTTTGTAGACCTCTGTGGCTTAGTTTCCTTATCTGTGTTTGTAGACCTCTGTGTTTTTCCTTATCTGTGTTTGTAGACCTCTGTGGCTTAGTTTCCATATCTGTGTTTGTAGACCTCTGTGGCTTTTTCCTTATCTGTGTTTGTAGACCTCTTAGTGGCTTAGTTTCCTTCCTTATCTGTGTTTGTAGACCTCTGTGGCTTAGTTCCTTTTCTGTGTTTGTTCTGTGGGTTATCCTGTCTGTTTGTAGACCTCTGTGGGTTATTTAGTTTCCTTTATCTGTGTTTGTAGACCTCTGTGGCTTAGTTTCCTTATCTGTGTTTGTAGACCTCTGTGTGCTTGTAGTTTCCTTATCTGTGTTTGTAGACCTCTGTTTAGTTTCCTTATCTGTGTTTGTAGACCTCTGTGGCTTAGTTTCCTTGTGTTTCTCTGTGGCTTAGTTTCTTTATCTGTGTTTGTAGACCTCTGTGTAGACCTCTGTGGCTTAGTTTCCTTATCCTTATCTGTGTTTGTAGACCTCTGTGACTTAGTTTCCTTATCTGTGTTTGTAGACCTCTGTGGCTTAGTTTCCTTATCTGTGTTTGTAGACCTCTGTGGCTTAGTTTCCTTATCTGTGTTTGTAGACCTCTGTGACTTAGTTTCCTTATCTGTGTTTGTAGACCTCTGTGGCTTAGTTTCCTTATCTGTGTTTGTAGACCTCTGTGACTTAGTTTCCTTATCTGTGTTTGTAGACCTCTGTGACTTAGTTTCCTTATCTGTGTTTGTAGACCTCTGTGGCTTAGTTTCCTTATCTGTGTTTGTAGACCTCTGTGACTTAGTTTCCTTATCTGTGTTTGTCCTTTAGTTTCCTTTATCTGTGTTTGTAGACCTCTGTGGCTTAGTTTCCTTTTCTGTGTTTGTAGACCTCTGTGGGTTAGTTTCCTTATCTGTGTTTGTAGACCTCTGTGACTTGACTTAGTTTCCTTATCTGTGTTTGTAGACCTCTGTGGCTTTGTTTCCTTATCTGTGTTTGTAGACCTCTGTGACTTAGTTTCCTTATCTGTGTTTCTGTGGCTTTGTTTCCTCTGTGTTTGTAGACCTCTGTGACTTAGTTTCCTTATCTGTGTTTGTAGACCTCTGTGACTTAGTTTCCTTATCTGTGTTTGTAGACCTCTGTGACTTAGTTTCCTTATCTTAGTTTCTGTGACTTAGTTTCCTTTATCTGTTTGTAGACCTCTGTGACTTAGTTTCCTTATCTGTGTTTGTAGACCTCTGTGACTTAGTTTCCTTATCTGTGTTTGTTAGTTTCCTTATCTGTGTTTGTAGACCTCTGTGACTTAGTTTCCTTATCTGTGTTTGTAGACCTCTGTGGCTTAGTTTCCTTATCCTTATCTGTGTTTGTAGACCCTCTGTGTTTCCTTATCTGTGTTTGTAGACCTTAGTTTTCCTTATCTGTGTTTGTAGACCTCTGTGACCTCTGTGACTTAGTTTCCTTATCTGTGTTTGTAGACCTCTGTGGCTTAGTTTCCTGTCTGTGTTTGTAGACCTCTGTGGCTTAGTTTCCTTTTCCTTGTAGACCTCTGTGTTTGTTTCCTTATCTGTGTTTGTAGACCTCTGTGGCTTAGTTTCCTTATCTGTGTTTGTAGACCTCTGTGGCTTAGTTTCCTGTGTTTGTAGACCTTGTGGCTTAGTTTAGTTTCTGTGTTTGTAGACTCTGTGGCTTAGTTTCCTTATCTGTGTTTGTAGACCTCTGTGGCTTAGTTTCCTTATCTGTGTTTGTAGACCTCTGTGGCTTAGTTTCCTTGTGTCTGTGTTTGTAGACCTCTGTGTTTGACTTAGTTTCCTTTCCTCTGTGTTTTGTAGACCTCTGTGGCTTAGTTTCCTTATCTGTGTTTGTAGATATCTGTGACTTAGTTTCCTGTTCTGTGTGTGTAGACCTCTGTGGCTTAGTTTCCTTATCTGTGTTTGTAGACCTCTGTGGGTTATTGTGGACACTAGCTTAGCTGGATCAGTTTCCTTATCTGTGTTTGTAGACCTCTGTGGCTTAGTTTTCTTATCTGTGTTTGTAGACCTCTGTGGCTTAGTTTCCTTATCTGTGTTTGTAGATATCTGTGACTTAGTTTCCTGTTCTGTGTGTGTAGACCTCTGTGGCTTAGTTTCCTTATCTGTGTTTGTAGACCTCTGTGGGTTATTGTGGACACTAGCTTAGCTGGATCAGTTTCCTTATCTGTGTTTGTAGACCTCTGTGGCTTAGTTTTCTTATCTGTGTTTGTAGACCTCTGTGGGTTATTGTGGACACTAGCTTAGCTGGATCAGTTTCCTTATCTGTGTTTGTAGATCTCTGTGGATCTGCCTGAAATAAGTTTTAGTTGTTACATTGCTTTCGAAAACACTCTCAAACCAGTTTTAAGCTGGGCTGACTCACTCAGAAATTTTAACAGATGAATCAGAAAGTAAAATGTAACGTTGGATATCACCCTGAATATTCATATTTATTAACAGAGCTTTCAATCGATTAGTGTTCAAAATAATTTTAAGTGTTTATTGGAAGTGAAAAGCCGAAGGCATAGCCTAAACAGGCTTGTCGTTTCATGAATATTTACCTTGAAAAAAGTCATTGCTAATTCATGTGTATTTCCAGTATGTAAACAAAATGATAATATATGGTGACAGTTGGTTACAGCATACTTATGAAATGCTAATCCACGTAATATTCAAAAAAGTTTGTATGTTGCCCGTTGGTAAAGGCAGGAAACGATATATTCAGAAGTGCTTTACTTGTTAGATATATAAGATACCTTTCAGTGTTTTGAATCAACGTTCCTTCGATTTAGAGATGTTATTCAATGAATCACTCCATGAATTCTAGTAAACTCTGCAGCCCTCTTAGCACAGTGGTGTCCTTAAACTACACCAGGATCTGCTAGTCTTGGGTTTGAGCCCAAGAATCTACCTGTTTCTTTACCTTGGTGTGTTACTAACTGATAAATTGCATTTCAAGCTCTGTGAGGCCAAGTAAGGTCCCTGTCACTTTTGCAAAGAAAATTATGAATGTGAATATCAGATTAACTTGAAGTCTGCCAGCTGACAGATGAAACCTTAAAAATGTGACTACATCGAAGTTAAACTGTTTAACCTGCTTCCTAATTCACTTTATCATGCTGTTTTAAGAATCAAGAAGAGTCGCCAAGTCTCACACAGTGGGTACAAAAACACACATTATTTTTGCAATTCTCCATCTGAATATGCATAGTCTTCTAACTATGGCAACAGAGTATAATTCATGCTTATTGATGTGTTGCATGGTGTAACTGGAAGGATTCACATTCTGACAATAATTATTCAATAATTAATATCAGTAAATGTGTACTAAATGAACTTTCATTAACAAATGTACGCATCACCATCCAATATGAATGCACCTGATCCCGTTAGTCGCCTGTTACTGAAGACCAATCCTAACATGTTCTAACCACTTCTAATCTTCACGGGGAACCACCCAGTAGACCTTTCTACATCAGTGATCAGCACCCAGTAGACCCTTCTACATCAGTGATCACCACCCAGTAGACCCTTCTACATCAGTGATCACCACCCAGTAGACCCTTCTTCAACAGTGATTACCACCCAATAGACCCTTCTACATCAGTGATCACCAACCAATAGACCCTTCTACATCAGTGATCACCACCCAGTAGACCCTTTTTCAACAGTGATCACCACCCAGTAGACCCTTCTACATCAGTGATCACCACCCAGTAGACCCTTCTACATCAGTGATCACCACCCAGTAGACCCTTTTTCAACAGTGATCACCACCCAGTAGACCCTTCTACATCAGTGATCACCACCCAGTAGACCCTTCTACATCAGTGATCACCACCAAGTAGACCCTTCTTCAACAGTGATCACCACCCAGTAGACCCTTCTACATCAGTGATCACCACCCAGTAGACCCTTCTACATCAGTGATCATCACCCACTAAACCTTTCTACATCAGTGATCACAACCAAGTAGACCCTTCTTCAACAGTGATCCCACCCAATAGATCCTTCTACATCAGTGATCACCACCCAGTAGATCCTTCTTCATCAGTGATCACAACCCAGTAGACCCTTCTACATCAGTGATCACCACCCAGTAGACCCTTCTACATCAGTGATCACCACCCAGTAGACCCTTCTTCATCAGTGATTACCACCCAGTAGACCCTTCTACATTAGTGATCACCACCCAGTAGACCCTTCTTCAACAGTGATCACCACCCAGTAGACCCCTCTACATTAGTGATCACCACCCAATAGATCCTTCTACATCAGTGATCACCACCCAGTAGATCCTTCTTCATCAGTGATCACAACCCAGTAGACCCTTCTACATCAGTGATCACCACCCAGTAGACCCTTCTACATCAGTGATCACCACCCAGTAGACTCTTCCACATCAGTGATCACCACCCAGTAGACCCTTCTTCATCAGTGATTACCACCCAGTAGACCCTTCTACATTAGTGATCACCACCCAGTAGACCCTTCTTCAACAGTGATCACCACCCAGTAGACCCCTCTACATCAGTGATCACCACCCAGTAGTTTTTTTGTGTGGATCTTCACTGGTCTCATGTGTATTGGGTGATGATCATTGGTTAGTACATGTGTATTGGGTGATGATCATTGGTTAGTACATGTGTATTGGGTGATGATCATTGGTTAGTACATGTGTATTGAGTGATGATCATTGAATATCATATGTAAGTAAGACATCATTGAGCACATATATGTTTTAGGGATGATCATTGATGGGATCACTGATGAACACATATGTTGGGAAGATGATACACTGACTTGTAAGGACCGTACATTCACCCTTTCGGTCATGCCACACATTATATTCCAGAGTCCAATTGTCAGAACTTCTTTCTTCCATGTAATGAATAATGGAATAAGTTAGAAATCGGCACACTGATGTATACAGGGTAGAGTAGTAATTAGTTGTGTGACACCTTCAAGAGTGTCAGTTAAACCCCTGAGATAGTCTGTGTCAGTGCGGGGATGACGGTTCAAGCGGCATCAGACTTCCTGGTTTAACACTATCAGGGGGAACAAAGAGTAGCCTCCCACACACTTACATGCAGCACTTGTCTGTGTCCATTGATTCTGGGACCGTCGACTCAAGAATTATTGGCTTTCAACATCTGAAGATTTATACTTCTAGTTATCTCCTCAACTGTTGTTATGGAAGTACATTCAGATGGATGGATCTGTGGATTGAAGCACTTACCACTGAGGACTCACTAACACAATTAACGTATCTATATCAAATAATTAGGCTGTGTCTGTGAATCTGGGTGATGATTGCTGACTGTTTGTCCTGAACAGTTTGTACGTGAAAGTGTCCTCTGTGGTCCACAGTCTGGTGTTGTGAGATGTTTGAGGTCAACAGTCTGATGTGTTGAGCTGAAGGATAGTTATTTTCTTTCTGTGGCTGTTGAAGACAGATGCTGGGAGCCAATGGTGGGTGTTCCAACCGTTCCCGAACAATTCCTGATGCTCCATTGATGCAAGGGTTTTTTAAGTTGGTGTATAACTACACTGTAACATGTATTCCGTTTCCCAGACTATGGAGAATTAATTAAAAAAAAGAACTCAACTCACATCTAGAATGAAAAAAGTGCTTCCTGTGTTGTGATCTGGAACTCTCGATCCTGAAGCCTTTTTCAGGAATTCACAGTTACTGATTGTTATTGCCTGTACCGTGTGCCATTAGCTTAAAAACATGTCCTAAAAGTCGTACTCACGCCCCCCAGGAATTTTAAGGTAATATCAAAGAGACTATCCTTTAGAAGAGAATCTAAAACTCCAGAATGAATGATAAATTCCAAATGTGAGTCTCACAATTAGGGCTGAAAAGGTATACCGAGGTATTTTGTTTTTGGTTCAGTACACTGAAATTCACTTGAACATACCGAAGATATCATCTTACTCACATTATGCACATTACTTTCGGAATGACATCACAAATATTCCATGTAATTTAATTCTAGTGACATCTTCATGTAGCTACTGTTTCTGACATTTCTGTGCCAAAGTTCTATTGTCAACAACTCATGCTAATTCGATTGGATGAACGAGTTCGTGTAACGGCACTTTTGTTTGGGTCCTAATTCCAAGAAGATTTCTTCTCGGGAATTTTAATTTTAATTTTTATTGATAATGAACCGAAATGTATCGAACTGAGAGTTGTGTACCGCACCGAACAGTGGCATTGGCGTACCTTTGCACCCCTACTCACAATACCCACAAGTTCTTTATGTCCAGCTGACAATACGATCAGGTGTGACTTGAAGTGTAGTAAAGCTAAACCTTTAAACTGGAAACAGTAAGGTAAAAAAGTTACTGACAAAAGGACAGTATGTGGCACACTTGGTAGGATGTTGCATGATAGTGTAGTAGGGGATTGTGGCTGTGGCCGAAAACTCATATAGCAAGCTGAACTAGAGATTTAGGAAAAAGGGTTCACAGTTGAATATAGCCTGTTTGGCGTTCTATCGAGGGAGTTTTTAATTAGGAGATAAACATCATGTGTTGGCAAATATCTGGGTGTTATTGAGTATGTGATTAGTTAGTGATACACTGGTGTTGCTGGTCATGATCTAAAAATATTGAAAAAGTGAGTGGAACTTTGCAAGTTTGTTTAATGATACTTTGGTGTCATACTTTGAAAATTGCTGCCATAAATTAGTTTTTTCCAGAGTTTCTTCAATTGTTGCATGATATTTTATCTTGAGCATTCACAGTTATGGCATTAATATCATTGTATTCAGTGCAAATACTGATGCAACACGAATGAAATACGTGTTTATCAAGATACTTGTCAAGACTGAGTTTGAAAACTGGTGCCATAAATAATTTTGTTCTCAGTGACCTTCTGTGTGTATTTATTTCACATTTAATCATTTTTTCTGATGTCATAAAGTGCCTCCAGTGCCTATCTCATTCTAAAGGGTGTATATGGCTCCTTTTCTATAGTTAACATTAAGGTCCATATTATTCAGTACTATATGAACAAACATAATGCTAATGTGCCCCATGGATGGCGATAATGCTGGTTTGTTGTGAAAGGACTGTATGACATGAATACTTATTGTGAAGGGGTCTCTGATTGGTTTGCCATGTTGCACATGATGGATAAGTAAGGGTGTCAAGGAACAATGGTTCATTAAGTCTATCCATGCTTCATCTTCTGGCAGTCAGGAGCCAGCCAGGGTTGTCATGTTTTGTGACAGTTGTTACATCTTCACCGTGGTTGTTGATGAACACCAAGGGTGATTCTGGGTCAGAATAGGCCTCTGTTTGTCATCACAGCTGACTGAATGGATCTGGTCATCAGCTTGTGATTGGTCAGACTTGTGATTGAACAATGACAAACAAACTTGAAAAGACTTGTTTCTTTGTTGAGGAAGCTATACAGGGAGGGTGGATACACCTCCCAAAGATATGGCATTAAAACCTCAGGATAAAAATACTCAAATATCACATACTTGTGTAGTACTTGATGCTTCCCAGCATGCTGTAAGAGGCCATTAAAATGATTCAGTGGGCAGGAGGCTTAAAACCA